CAGGTCTCTCACAGCTGGAGGACATTGGTCTCTCACAGCTGGAGGACATTGTTCTCTCACAGTTGGAGGACCTTGGTCTTCCATAGCTGGGGGCATTTGGTCTTCCACAGCTGGAGGACATTGGTCTCTCATAGCTGTAGGACTTTTGTCTCTCACAGCTGGAGGATTTTTGGTCTTTTACACCTGGAGGACCTTGGTCTTCCACAGCTGGAGGACCTCCGCGGACTTCATGTGTGGGACTCTGTTGCGGTGGTTTGTGTCCAGCTCCTTCCTCTTCCTGATCAGTTTTTGTCTCAGAGGACCATATGATTGAGCTGCAACTTCATGTGATGGTAATGTCAAGGTGTTCTTGTTTCAGGGATATGTCGAGGTTTAATCTTCAGCAATAAAGCCTGACCCATCCCTAGTTCCGCAGTTGATCTGGCTTCTTGTCTCCAAAGACTTTCTGCATTTTATGTCCTTTAAACATCTTTGAAGTGGACTCTTCCATTATTCAGACATTCAGAGTTTGGAGACATCCTGATCGAAGCCTTCTGCTTTGTTTTGCTTTCAAGCAGCCATTTTAAAAATAATTTAAAGTGGTCTTAAAAATGTTCAAAAACTTGAAATAAATAAATCACATTCTTTAGAAAATGTTCAGCTTTGAGGATAACAAGCAGCCGAAGTCCAAATCCAAACTTCTGGTTTGTTCAGGAACAGCAGAGTTCTGTGGTTCTTAACATTGTATTAATATAAAGCTGTCGGTTCTGTTGGGTGATCTCATAAACGCTCTCTGGTGGAACAACTTCCTCTGAGACTGTGGACAATCTTAGCTGTTGGACTTTTGTCTTGTTTGGGTCAGATTTAGCAGATGTGAAGTGAAATCAGCTGAAGACGCCTCTGAAAACACGTCGATGTTCCAGTTTCATGTTTGTCACTTTGTAAAGTACGTTTGATCATTTATTGCTCGTTGGGCCTTCAGGGTGTTTAACCCCCAATAAAAAGGGAAGTCAGCCAGACGTTGATTTTTATACTTGAATCATTCTGAAAGACACTCAAGATTTGTTTGTTTTTATGATCAATAAAAGTTCATTTTGAATCTTTGTCGTTTTTTCTGCTCTAACTCCAAACTAAATGAACATGAGGCTTCAGTGATTTTCTGCATGCCTTTGTTTAGACCCTTCTATGCATTTTAGGATTGTAAACTAAAAGTGGATGAATTGTTCAGGGATGGCTGGTGTTGAACCGTCCCCAACATTTGCAATAAACATTACAATATGTTCAACTGATGCTTTTGAATTGTTCCAGCCCAAACAACATTCATTCAGGTGGAAGGGTTGGAGTGATTTGACAGGTGTTAAGTCACATGCTTTCAGCCAATCGGAGAGTACGTAACATGATATCATCATCATCGTAGCTATTCTGTTTCTTACTTGGTATGGATCCAGAGGGTCCACTTGTCGCTGTGTGTGTCCATCATCTGCCTCTCATCTAGTTTGGGTCATGCCGGTTCTGAATCTGATGTAGAGCCAGAGTTTGATCCATCCGGTCCAAGGCGCAACATTCAGCAGCACACATTAATCACACAGCAGTCTAATCCTGACCCACAGATGGAGGACAGACAGAAGTTCATGGGCAGTGCTTCAGCTTTTGGCTGTTAGCACCAGAAGCTGATATTTGATTATTTCCACCCATGTATGAATGACAGACTGATAAATTATAACTATATGTATTGTCAAACACAACGTTTAGTCCCCACTGCAGCCTCTGGATGTCATCACCCAAAAAGCATTGCACCTGTAAATTAGTGGCGACATCAGGTGAAAAACGTAATAGCAGTTTTAATGCATCACAAACAACATTTAGTAGAACAGCGTAATAAGTGAAGGCCAACGTGAGAAGTTAGTCAGATGTCCTTTATTCCAGGATACATAAAATATTAATAAATTTGTCTTGCAAACTCACAAACCTAAAAATTCACCAGTGGCCATCTTCTGCTCTCAGACCCGACTCCATCCTTTCTGAGATGTTCACCTCAAAGGTCAAACACGAGCCAATGTATTTTGTGTAACATTTAAATACAATTTAAAATCAGGAGATTAACACAAAACTAGAAAAGATTCAGTGATTTTCAGGCAGAACGCCACCACCAAACTGATAAAAACCAGACTGTAAACGTCCCCGAGGGCCTAGACCTACAGAAGACCCTTGGACTTCCTGTCCCATCATTTCTGACACCCATCAAAGTTTAAAAACAAAGAAACCAGGAGAAGATGGCCGCTGTCCCCATAAAGTGCCCTGTTACTCGGCTGCATCAGTGAAGAAGTTTGACCCCCCCCCCACCACCACCTCCCAAGTCAGAGGTGGGTCAGAACCATCAAAGGACAAGCAGCAGCTCTTTTCTGTTTGTTCTCCATTTGAATAAGGCTCCACCTCTTCTCATTTCTGACTGTGCATTGCTGACACCACAGGTGGCTGCTGGGTGCCGCTGGGCTGAGAGATGGGGGGCCACATGGGAGTCTGTGGGAGGTGGTAAGCGTGGTGCAAGTGGGGGCTCATGGGTGAGGACGGGGGTAGCCATACTGCCTGGTGGTTGGGTGGCGAGGAGGCCCAAAAGAGTCAGAGTCAGAGTTTCTTTATTGTCATTCTCACCTCATGTGGTGGAGCGAAATTATGTACGCGGAGCGGTGAAGCCAGAGGTGTAGGAGGCGGGTGGGGGTGAACACGTCACACAGGCCTGGGATGGGGCGGCCCCCGGGCCACAGTCTGAAGCACACAGCTTGGAGAACATGGTGATGGCGTCAGGGAAGTTGGGCGGCGTGGCTGGAGTGTTTCTGGGGGTGCGTATCTGGAGGGAGGGAGTAAAACCGTTAAGAGTTTTTCAAACCAAAGTTAAATCTTTACAAATCCACCGTTTCTGACCTTCAAACAATTCTCAAGTTTTATCTGAGCGAAACCTATGGTTTAATGAGGAATGCACAAAATAGATACTTTCTGTCTTGTGTTGATCAGCTTGATCCGTTTACAGAACAAACTGTTCATGGTACACATCTAACCCGAACACACAACTGTTTCTGTGACATTTTATCTGCAGATCAACGCTGCTGATGCTGAATGCGGTTCAAAATGAACCACAAAATGTGACAGAAATACCAGAAATGCTTCTGACCAGTCTGAAAGTTCTTCAGACCATTTGACTTTACCAAAACATCAAACACTTTAAGATTCAGTTTGCACAAAAACAGGAAATGGAAGGTCAGCGGTCAAATGGGCATGTCTACTGGTTGTTGTGAATGAAGGTGTGTTAAAAACAACAAAACATCAGCTCTACTTATTCAATGTTAGTATTTTGTGATGATTTTTGACGACAACTGGTAAAAATCAGAAGTCCTGTCGATGCAGCTGAACTCGCATGCAGATCACCCTCCCCTCCCTCCTGAGGCTCTTTGTTAGCCTGGCTCACAGGCTCATGATTTTTTTTCATTCAACCTTTATTTAGACAGGTAAATCCCATTGAGCCTCGAAGACTCATTTACAAGAGAGACTTGATTTCAACAAAGAATGATAACAACAATGGACAACAGCGACAACAATAGACAGTTATAAAAAAAGGCATATCGTTTTTTTTAACAAATTAAGATGGCAAAAAGAGTAACAAAAACAGCTAGATTCTAATGCGAATGTAGAAAACTAAAACCAGGAATATGTCTGCATTGGTCCTTGCCAGGAGTCCAACAGATTTTTAAAGCCATTTAAGAGAGGTCAATATTGAGAGCTTCAGGTCTTTTTGTAAGATATTCCAGGAAACAGGAGCGGAGTAGGAGAAGGTCCTTTTGCCAAGTTCAGTCCGTACTGAGGGAACACTGCAGGTAATAATGTCCTGAGAGCGTAACATAAATGTTGTAACCACTGATGCTTTAGGTCTTGTGGCTTTTTTGCCTTGTTGGAGTAGAATCCTGGTTTGTAGTCTTTTTGTGTCTCAGAATCAATATGTGAACGGTCCGGTTCTGATCATGGTGGATGATATTTACAGTGTGTGTACAGAAGTGAAACATCCTGCTGAACATGTTAAGAAATCTGGAAAAACAAAGTGAATTATTGTTGTCAAAACAAGTTTTTATTGCCTCCTCCCTGGGCTGCCACCTCACTGTGGTGGAGGGGTTTGAGTGTCCTAGTGATCCTAGGAGCTATGCTATCAGGTGAAGCCCCTAGTTGGGTCACCCAAGGCAGACAGGTCCTAGGTGAGGGACCAGACAAAGTGCAGCCCAAACACCCCTATGATGAGCGAAATAAATGGACTCAATGTTCCCTCGCCCGGCCGTGGGTCACTGGGGCCCCACTCTGGAGCCGGGCCTGGAGGTGGGGCACACTGGCGAGCGCCTGGTGGCCAGGCATTTTCCCATGGAGCTCGGCCGGGCACAGCCCGAAGACCCATGGGCTCAATACCTGTGAGAGGGGCCAAAGGGGTCGGGTGCAATGTGGGATGCGTGGTGGCCAAGGGCAGCGACCCTGGCGGTCTGATGCTTGGCTACAGAAGCTGGCTATTGGGACATGGAATGTCACCTCACTGGTGGGAAAGGAGTCTGAGCTGGTGTGTGAGGTTGAGAGGTTCCAACTAGAAATAGTCAGACTCACCTCAACACATGGCTCTGAAACCAGTTTCCTTGAGAGAGGTTGGACACTCTTCCACTCTAAAATTGCCCCTGGTGAGAAGCGCCGAGCAGGAGTGGGCATACTTGTTGCTCCTCATCTTGGTGCCTGTACATTGGAGTTTACCCTGGTGAACGAGAGGGTAGCTTCCCTGTGCCTAAATGTGGGGATTCTAACTGTTGTTTGTGTTTATGCACCAAATGGCAGTTCAGATTAACCACCCTTTTTGGAGTCATTGGAGGAGGTACTGGAGAGTGCACATCCTGGGAACTCCCTTGTTCTGCTGGGGGACTTCAACACTCATGTGGGCAATGACAGTGAGACCTGGAGGGGTGCTGATGGGAGGAATGGCCCCCCTGATCTGAACCCGAGTGGTGTTCTATTGTTGGACTTCTGTGCTCGTCATGGATTGTCCATAACAAACACCATGTTCAAGCATAAGGATGTCCACATGTGCTCTTGGCACCAAGACACCCTAGGTCGCAGTTCGATGATAGACTTTGTTGTTGTCTCATCTGATCTGCGGCCACATGTCTTGGACACTCGGGTGAAGAGAGGGGCGGAGCTGTCCACCGACCACTACCTGGTGGTGAGTTGGCTCTGATGGTGGGGGAGGATGTAGTCAGAACTGGCAAGCCCAAACATATTGTGACGGTCTGCTGGGAACGTCTGGCATAGTCTCCCGTGAGACGGAGCTTTAACTCCCACCTCTGGGAGAACTTTGAACACGTTCCGGGGGAGGTAGGGGACATTGAGTCCGAGTGGGCCATGTTCCGTGCCTCTATTGTCGAGGCAGCTTACCACAGCTGTGGCCGCAAGGTTGTCATGCCTGTTGCGGCGGCAACCCTTGATACAGTACCCTCAGTACACCACCAACGCTGTTTATAGTTGGGGTGGTGTGCTGCTGACCTCAACTCAGGATGTCGTGGGCCGGTGAGCAGAATACTTTGAAGACCTCCTCAATCACACCAGCAAGTCTTCCACTGAGGAAGTTAAGCCTGGGGACTTTGGGTCGGGCTCGTTGGTGGCAGGGCCCCAGAGGTGGATGAGATTCGCCTGGAGTTCCTTAAGGCTCTAGATGTTGTGGGGTTGCGTTGGCTTACACAACTCTGCAATATTGCGTGGACATCGGGGGAAGTTCCCCAGGATTGGCAGACTGGGGTGGTGGTCCCCCTATTCAAAAAGGGGGACCGTAGAGTGTGTTCCAACTACAGGGGGATCATGCTCTTAACCCTCCCTGGTAAGGTCTATTCGGGGGTTCTGGAGAGGAGGGTCTGTCGGATAGTGGAACCTTGGATTCAGGAGGAGCAGTGCGGTTTTCGTCCTGGTCGTGGAACAATGGACCAGCTCTACACCCTCAGTAGGGTCCTGGAGGGTGCATGGGAGTTTGCCCAACCAGTCTACATGTGATTTGTGGACTTGGAGAAGGCGTTCGACCGCGTCCCTTGGGGAATCCTGTGGGGGGTACTCTGGGAGTATGGGGTACCAGGTCCTTTGATACGGGCTGTTAGGTCCAGTGTCAGAGCTTGGTCCGCATTGCCAGCAGTAAGTCGGGCTCATTCCGACTTACTGCTGGCAGTAAGTCAGCAGTAAGTCGGGGCGGGGGGTGTCACTGGTGTCCATGTCCAGCAATCACTGTGCGAGGGGCGGGGTACACCCTGGACGGGTCACAAGTCCATCACAGGGCCACATAGAGACAAACAAGACAAACAACCATTCACTCTCTCACTCTCACCTAGGGACAATTTAGAGTCACCAATCAGTCTAACATGCAGGTCTGTGGGAGGGAACCCGAGTACTCAGAGAAAACCCATGCAGCAGAGAGAACATGCAGATTCCACCCAGGAAGGTCCCCAGCCGGAAGGGATTTACCATACCATACCATTTTATTTATAGATCACTTAAAACAGGAACAAGGCCAACCAAAGTGTTGTACAGTAGAAATCAAACAACGCACACAGCTAAACATAAAACAAAGTAAAATAAAAATATAGATAGGAATAGCAGAATATAATAGCTTAATGGCTACACAGTATTATACAGACAGGTTCAGCACAGATCATACAGTGTTAAAAGATTTGAACCGGGGCAACCTGCTCCCTGAGAGGTGGCAGCTTTACCAACTGTGCCACTGCACTGCCTGCCTCATGTCCATTAATAAATTAAAATTTATTCCATCTGTAACAGTTTTACTTGAGCTGAGAAGAATCCTGCAGGTTGGATGCAATAAAAACTTCCATCCAGCCATCCATTTTCTTCCACTTCTCCGGGGTCGGGCCATGGGGGTAGCAGCTTAAGTAGGGAGGCCCAGACTTCCCTCTCCCCAGCCACTTGAGCCAGCTCCTCCGGGGGAATCCCGAGGCGTTCCCAGGCCAGCCGAGGAACATAGTCCCTCCTGCGTGTCCTGGGTCTTTCTTTGGGTCTCCTCCCAATGGTATGTGTTTGGAACACCTCACCAGGGAGGCGTCCAGGAGGCATCCTAGCCAGATGCCCGAGCCACTTCAACTGGCTCCTCTCGATGTGGAGAAGCAGCGGCTTTACTCTGAGTCCCTCCAGGATGACCAAGCTTCTCACCCTATCTCTAAAGGAGAGCCCAGACACCCTGCGGAGAAAACTCATTTAAGCTCATGACCATAGATGAGGGTAGGAATGTAGATCGACCAGTAAATTGGGGGTCCAGGGGAACGCACTCACAGGAGAACCTGACAAGTTGTTTAATGACAAAATATATTTCGTTAGCAAAGAATAGAGTCTTAAAATTTGTTAAACATCTGTTTTTATAACAAATTAAAAAATACATCAAACTTGTGCTTTGACAATCGATAAAACTAAAAAAAAAATTGTCAACGCGAAAGAGGAAAGAGGGGGCAGGTGTCAAGCTCGCTTTGAGTTTATACTCTTTGTTGCATGTGTGCTGTGGGTGAAATGCTTCCAGAGAGGAGGACTTGTTAGCAAAGAATAGAGTCCAAATATTTATTAAACATTACTTCTGTATAAAAAAAACACAAAAATTGTGATTTGACAAAAAAAAAAAATTGTTAAAGTAAAAGAGGAAGAGGGCCAGGTAATGCTCTCGCTTTGAGTTTATTCTCTATTGCATGCGTGCTGTGGGTGACAAGCGTCCAGAGTGTCACCAGCTGAGGAGGTGTCACAGTGACACGGTTCAAGGATGGCTCCCCAAACGACAAGACAGACAGATTTGTTCATAACTTTATTATTAGTCAGCCTGAGAGTTGTTGGATTTTAGTAAACAGTTGCCGAACGCACCCTGACAAAATGATAATGGTGCAAAAAAAAAAAAAAACCCTCCACCCTGTCAAAAGATTAGGAGGTGTCACAGTGACACGGCCCCCCCCCCCCCCCCCTCCCCCGGCTGGGGACCTTGCTAGGTGGAATCTGCATGTTCTCTCTGCTGCGTGGGTTTTCTCTGAGTACTCGGGTTCCCTCCCACAGACCTGCATGTTAGACTGATTGGTGACTCTAAATTGTCCCTAGGTGAGAGTGAGAGAGTGAATGGTTGTTTG